GGCTTTGCCTGCCGCACGCGTGAAGTTGCCATTGGGCGTAGCAGATTTCCAATCTTTGGGCATCATGGCTTTATCATGCACAATCGTGGTGTAATGTTTGTCCGCAAGGCAAAGAATAAGCGGATCACGCAGGATGCTTTCTTCAGCTTGAATGCGGCAACACATTTTCCATTTGCCACTGCGCTTCTCAAAGATGAGCAGGTCGGTCTGCAGGCAACTGGCGATGGCTTGAGCAGCAAGACCGTCAATCCATCTGTTGGCGCGACTGAGAGCAGTCAAGTACTCAGCAGCAGTTTTCGGCGGTTCTCCGTCTTCCATGTCAGCATCAGTAGTGGGATCAGCGGCCCAGTTGGCCTCCCACTCGCGGTGTTGCTGAAGCCAGGCAATGCAGCGCGCTTTGATCGACTTGGTAAGTGTTTCAATGTTGGCTTCGATGTCCTCAGCGGACTTACCAGAGCGAGCAGCACAGGCGGCAGCGATGGCCCGGTAACCGCAGTCACCGTGCCCGCCGAGGTTCCAGATGGTGGTACCTCGAGGTCCATTCTGAGCATCACGGACCTTGCGCTTGGACACAGCAGCCCCGGCAGCGGCCGTGGGCTTAGCGGCGGACTCAAGCTTAGCCTTTTTCGTGGTGTGCTTCGAAGGGCTGGCATTTTTTCCGTTCTCAGGCGCGTTCTGCGTAGCAGCAGTCGGAGAGTCAGGAGCAGTGGCTGGGACCTCTTGGCTATCCACCTCCATAACTTCAGTCGTCTCCTCCTGCTCCTTGGCATCAACAGTGAACCATTTGGAGCCATGAGCGTGCCAACGCTCACTGGCAACTGGCTTTGCTCGCATCCATTTGGTGATGGTGATGACTTGCTCACCTACCTGGTATGCAAAAGGACCTTCTCCAGTCTCAGCCGGTTTAGCAACACAAGTCCACTTGCCCTTAGTGTACTTAGGGGCCGTGACATGCTTGAACTCAGACCAGCCCTGCTTTTCAAGCCACTGCTGGAAGGTGCCAGGGCCCCAGTGAGAGGGGACGCCTGCAACTGTCCACTTGAGGGCTCCAGGTGCAGAGACCACACCGCCCCGCAGACCTAAGCACGCGCCTCCGCCCCGCCTGCAGGCGAGGGGAAGCTTGGACGTCTGGGCTTGGGTAAAAACTCGCGCAAAGTATTGCTCCATGTCTTCCGTAGACTGCTTGGGAATCCACTGGACAGGGGTTTTGACATGCGAAAGGTTGCATTGGAGAGGTTCAAGAAAAAGACCCTTCTTACCGCTAACGGCTAAAACCGAAGCAACCTTGTCAGGACAAATCTTGGCATACCCTACTAGCTGAGTGCGGCCATCCACGGCAGCCTCGCGCCAGCCATAAGCGCGAACCTCCATGCCCACTGGAAGGATGGACATAAGGACCTGCACCGGGTTGCGCTTTATGTTGGTCCAGTTACTTGCAACGAACTCCTGCCGAACGGTGATCCGCACGGCGACGTGCTCGGCATTGGCAGGTGCCTCAACCGTCTTGACCTTAGGCTCGGGAGGAAGGTCAGGGAACTTGTTACCTAAAGGCACTACAGGCAGTTGCAGCGCTCCGCGCTCCGTCAGGAACCACTTGAGCGCGTGTTTCGGGGGCAAAGCATGTTTGGTGGATTCATAATCCCAAACAATCAATGCGAGAGGGGCATCGGCCTTAGGCAAGGCATGTGCATCGGCCATGGCCTGCAGCTCATGCAAGTTTTCAACTTTGACCACGGCAAACTTGACGTCCTTAGGGAGCGCACCTTCCATAAGGGACTTCGTCAGGGTGTGATACGAGCAAATCGCATTGCTAGCGATGGTCTTAAAGCGTGGGGGCTTAGACTTAGGGACAGGCTTGGGTGTGGGCTTGTCAGGCTTTTTCCTAAAGTCAAGCTTAGCTTGCTCTTTCGGGCCGTCCGTCTTCACACGAGACGTTTGTGGGCGCGAAGGTTCTTGCCAAGGCTTGTACTGTTCATGCCTCCATACAAGGTCGCGCAAATCATGCAACAAACTGCGCTGCGCAGAACCGTTGCTGTGACTCGCAACCAACTTCTTAAGTGCATGCAAAAGGCCATCGTCCGCACTGGGCGGCGGACCCGCGGCCACCTGCGCCCAAGAGCGCGTGGGCGCTGGCGCATCCCACCATTCCTGCTGGTCATGCGCAGCCTGCCAGTAATCGGCGTCTTGCAGATGATCATCTTCGTAATCATCCTCTTCACCGTAGTTCCGCAGAACTTTACTCAAAGCTTCAAGCAGCTTCTGTTCTTTTTTGCGCGCAACCGTCCCGCCACGGAGTAACCAATGTTTTTGGACATGACCATTAGCTGGGACAGTAGTGGTTGGTTTTGTGCAAAGAGGGCGACGTGTGAAGGGCACACATCGCGTAACAGTATACAGCCGTCTACACCTTGCAACCAAGCTGCACGCTGCATGGAACCAAGAGGCATTGCAAAGCCCCCATGGCGTGCATGACACACTTGCCAATGCACTGTGCAAATTTCTGTTCTGAACAGCAACATAGGCTGCGCGATGCGCACCCCAACACCTATGTTGCTTGACACGCATTGTTCCCGCCTTTCTAGCGGAGTACAATCTTGGCTTAACCCTTATTGTGGCTTCTTCGAACCATGCGCACAGCAGTCCTGTGCACCCCACGCAAAAGATGCAAAGCACTAGACCGATTAAGGTCCAAGCTTGAAGGCAAGCTGCGAGATTTTCGGGATCCCACATCTCGACGAATTTGGCGGCAGTCACTTTGCCGACTTGCTTACTTTCTGCAGGTATAACCATCAACGAGAAGCACATGAAGTACTGAATAGCTGAACCAACTTGGCACCTCTTGAACTGACTGCTGAACCAAGTTCGCGAGGCCCGCATCCACCACTTGGAGGTGTTGGCCAGGATGCTCTATATGTATGCTATACAAAACATATAAACTGCACAGAAATACCACACATACTTCAAATGTTCAGAGTATATTCAGACTACAGTTAGCATATGACGAATACATCCGTAACCTACAACATAAAATGTATATAAAAGGAATATACATACAAGTATATAGGCATTCTATATGCCATATATGTAGTACCTATATAGTAGATGTAACTGGTGATACATATCTAAATATACCGATGTACATGTGTGTGTATAAATATCTGTATATGTATAAGCTGTACAAGTATGTGTGTATATATATATATACCAAGTCACATCTAGTGCAACATACCGGTCACAGAACCTGTACTAAAAGCATATGGTACATCTCTTGAACGAAAATGCATGAATATTTCAGTCAATACTGTATCAAAATATGACATCTCATACTAGAACCAGATGGAACATGTTAATCTGGAACATTATGCAAATACGACGTGAAACTTCAGAAATACAAGCTGTAGAAAAGAGAGCACGCAAAGCAATGCGCTATGATTTAGCATCACGGAATATGATGTCAGATAAAATTCTATTCAGTATGATAATAGCATATATGAGCCGAAAACATAATGCGATATAATGGCGACCATACTAAAATTAAATAACAGCCTGTGGCTCATGTGATATGACAGAATATACTACGCTATGGAATACTTTGATGTAGTATGATATGCAGTGATATAATACATCGGACCATGCTATGATAGGACATGTTATGATTTGATACGGTGTTGTCGTATCATAGTTATTTATGGCACAGTATACTATATCCAATGATTATGTATGATTTTAGGTTTTCATTTACTATATTTAAGGTATATTCAAAATATGCAATTACTCACAGCCTAGTATGTTCTCCGAAATCACGTATTAATGTACGCCGTCAGCTTGCTATGCATGCTCCTTTAGAACAGTTATAACTTCACATTGTATGATAACCTACTATATCACATTAAAGTGTGCTATAGCATTTTACCCCTAGATATTCTGACATTATACTCTGTTGAGTTGTTGTATATCTTATTGTATGTTACATCCTGATACTTGTACAGTATGCTACACTACAGTATAACAAACCATGCTACAGTACATTATGACATAGTATACTCCGCAACATTTTACATGTTACACACACATGCATGTATGTGCATATATGCATATCTTATGTGTATTCTTTTGTATTCGGTTGGGTTAAAGTATATTATATTCTGCTACATTGCATTGTATTACAATTATGTATGCTGTATTATAGTAAACTAGAAACTTGTCAGATAATATACTATGCCGAACTTTGTTATCTCATGATCCGCATTCTGTTTCATTATGTTATACAATAATGGGCTTTGCCACAGGATCAGTAGCGTGTATCCACATATGCATGTCCTTTCAGTTACCATTCCTTGCATTGGAGACCGGGCAGTTGGACAGTGCACCTCGCCTTGAAAGATCGGACATCGCAGGCGCAAACGCATCTTTCACAGCGTGGATTCTCCCGCAACTTCCTCTCACGTTGTCACGTGGCAAGTGGGCAATGCCCCCGGGGCAAGAGCCAGCAATTGGGAAGTCGAAGCACAGCTCATGAAAATGATGGCGGCTGCAGGGCTGAGATGCAGAACATCTCTGGTGCAGACACAGCCGCGTGCATCCAGTGTTTAAAGTGGGGAAGAAGAACACCCTACGGGCTCCGCCCACGCGCGGATTTCGGCACTGGCCAAAAAAGTGATGATGTCCAGACATGGCTTTGCATCTAGCTCTTCGGGAAGCCATAAGAGATGTCACTTCAGGATGAACAAGAAGCTAAGAACATCGAGGCATGCGCGGGCATGCGCGTGGCTCGCCGGCTCTGCCGGCGAAGAGGCATACCACTGACTGTTGGCTACTTGCCGGCGACATGCGTCGCTCCGAGGAAAGCATCGACTCACCCATTCGGTCAGTCGAAACATAACACTGTATCATCAAAGTTACAAGCTCGCACCATCACACGTGCACGAGGCCTCACCGTGCGCAAGAAGTGGAACGGATGATTCCGCTGTCGCAACACACGAGGGCCAGGGCCCGAACCGTCACAGAAAAAACAGCAGGCTTCCATCCGGTGTCTCCTGGTGCGTGTTGGAGCGGTGTGGCCATCAAACCGTAAACCCTCAAGCATAAACTCAAACATGCCCACCTAAGCCCAAAATCCCAAACCCCAAATCCTGCACCCAACTATGCAGAATCAGAATACGCCCAAGTAAACCCTAAACCCTAATGCACCGCACTAAACCCTAAACCCGAAACCCAGATATCCAAACATGCCCCAATCAGGCGATGCTCGTCATCATAGAAGGGCGCTTTGAGTTGTGGAGGGGCCTCCGAGAATCGTCGGTCATTCAGAAAACTACCCTAAACAACGGTTGATGAAAAGAGTCCTGCATTACCTTAAGGACCCTAAACTATGGGAATAGAGGTATATTCTTTTCTATGGGTACTGAAGGAGTTTGTTCATATCATCAACCGTATGTCATAGTATATTAGAACAGACCTTGGCAAAGTCGATATAGTACAGTGAAGGAAAGTACCTAGTCAAAAGGGTAATTATGTGTATAGTATACAGCATATAGTATAAAGTATATAGTCCGCTGTCTATAGTTTTATAGTATACCGTATACAGTAACTGTAATATTTAGTATACAGGGTACAGGTTATAGTATAACATGGCATGATAAAGTATAATAAAGTCATAAAGTATGGCAAAAGGAATTATAGTATACTTCAACGTAATCTGGCATTCTCAAGTCTATCCCGAAACCCTAAACCCTAAACCGCAATGTGGTATGGGAGTTTCCGAAAGTAGGGGGGGCCCTAAACCAGTAACTAGTACCCTAAATAGTAGGATCCTATTTACAAGGACCCCAAAACAAGGTACCCCTAATTTTCGGAAACTTCCGTCTACGAAACTGAGCCCCCCGGCTGAAGACGACGCAGCCGGGTGAAAGCCCGGGTCGGTCTGCTGGGGACCCTGCAGCGCCCCTGGCAGAGGAGTTTTGGCGTCAAAGGCGTCGTCAAACATAACCCCTGAACCCTAAACACCCTAAAATCCTGAACCCTCAAAACCCTGAAGACCCTGAACCCTGAACCCTAAACCCTAAAAGCCCTAAACCCTAAAAGCCCTAAACCATGAACCCCAAACCGGGCGGGCCTTGAAACTGAGGGTTTTGCCATTGTGGTTGCAAAGGGACGGCCGGAAGCTGGGGCTGCCGAGTCTGCCAAGCGTCCTTAGGCGGAGAGGGGGTTCAAGGTTTTAGGGTTTAGGGTTTAGGGTTTAGGGTCTAGGGTTTAGGGTTTAGGGTTCAGGGTTTAGGATTTAGGGTGTAGGGTGTAGGGTGTAAGTTAGAAGGGGCCCCCACCCTGTAATAGTGACTATAAGGACTATATAGGATTATATTAGGGCCCTAATTCCCATTATACCAGTATTACAGGGTTTTAGGGTTTAAGGTTTAGGTCTTAGGCTTTAGGGTTTAGGGTTTTGGTGTCTTAGGGTTTAAGGTTTCGGGTTTATCTTTTAGGGTTTCAGAGTTTAGGTTTTAGGGTTTTCGGATTAAGGAGCTTCCTGAAACAACTGTCCCGACGCATATGTTGAGCAAACTAGTTCTACAATTGTATATGGCAGGCTACATATTATGTATTGTAAACTGTATATTACATATTATCCATTGCGTATTTTGCATATTGTGTATTGGAGGCATATCACTAAAGTATCCCGACCAGACATGTATCCTCATGCAATCCTTGTCCCCTGGTCCCTGACAGCAAGAAGGACCAAACATATCTAGCCTGTTGCAGACCGTTGGTAGAAGCAATTGCAAATTGGATACCCAGACCCCAGGGAGGATCTAGAAAGTAGATCCCCTAATTTGGGGCCCTATACTTTACAGGAACCCCCATTAAGGGATCTACTTTTTGGATCCTCCTGGGGGTCTGGGTAGGTGGCCTTGTGCGATCGCATCCTTGCATCTTCGTTGCGGCATTTCGCACTTGGAGGTTCATGGGTAGTTATAAGGGTTCCTTTAAGGGTCCCTTTAAAGGGATCTGCAGGGATTCTATACGGGTTTAGGGGATAGGGCCTACTTGGAGGTTCATGGGTAGTTATAAGTAGGGCTATAAGTAGGGTAACTATACTTATAACCCTAATTAGGGGACTTCTAACCCTACTTATGACTACACCTGAACCTCCAAGTATCTCATTTCCTCAGGTTCCTGCAACCGAGACGTGCCAACGAAGAGCCAGTCATTTAGAGCTTGAGGCTTGAGGTTGAATTCTGATTGGTTTAAGAACTCGAACGCCACGCATGCTACAGTAGGTGCGCAGCTTATAGCAAATCGCTTGCTCCGATAAGTAGCTCATCTTGGTGCAGGGAGCAGTTTTGCATACATCGCTGTGCATCTGCACACGCAGAGACCAGCTCTTGTCGCAAAGCGTCTTCTTTTCCCGGCGCGTCCTAAATCCTGGACCTGAAAAGGACAGGACTCGTGACTTTATATTGTGGCTGCCGCTAGGCCATGGCATGATGCCTTATGTGAAGCCAAAAAGAAGGCAAGGTGTTCGAGGTCAGCGCTGGGAGAAGCAGAAATCTTTCGTGGTATACTCTACTCTAATACACACACGTACACCAGATATGCTACAGTCTGCCAAAATGCACAAGAAAGTGATCGCGCAAGCATAACGGTGGCTTCAGTAAAGAGAAGGAACCCTACAAGGGGCCCAGAATCAGGGAACTACGCGTATGAATGAGTAGTTAGTTGTTGCTTCTGCTCATGCTGAACAAGACACATCATTTTGCTGCCACGATGCTGCAGGACCCATCTGAGAATGGGTCGTCAAGGGATAAGCGGCACCTCAATCGCTCTGGCGGCGAGGCACTCACAATCGAGGGCTCTGGCATTGAGTGGCCGGCCAGTGTTGACAGTCTGACGCACACCAGTACCTAATGCAAGGACTCTGTCTCACACGGCGTCTAGTTATGATTGAAGATTCGACGAGCGGCGGCTGGAGGTTGGCTGGAAAGGCTGGAAACCTCCAAAAGACCGTTGGCCAGATACTGCCATGCGCTGCTCCGAGCCTGAGCCCTGCACTGGAGGAGCCCGTCCTTCTGTTTTGCGTGCTCCTTTCAGGCAACTGGCGTCGGGTGGGGCTATGCTGAGCAAACTGAAGGCCTTGGCTTGGACTTTGAAGCGCTTCCATCCTTGGAAAAAAGAAGCTGGTACAGCAAGCCCGGCTATTCAGATTCAAAGGGCACTAAACCCCTAAACCCTAAACCCGGCAGCCAGGGGCAGAGGCAGAGGGTGCGTTTCGTTTGGTGCCCATTTTTCTAGGGTGCCGGCGGCCGAGGCCATAGCCAGCTTTCGAGATTTGATGTGCTCGCTGGCCTGCGCATCAGCAGCAAGGAAAGAAGGCAGTGCCCAGACTAGACCATACGATAGCAAAAGACAGTATATCTTTCAATATTATAGTAGGAAAATACAGTATATCTTTCAATACTACTATAGTACAATACAGTATATCTTTCAATACTCTAGGATAAAATACAGTATATCTTTCCATACTCTAGGATATCAGACAATAGTATAATTGCAACACGGTGTCCCAGGCCCGAGGCGCCTCAGCGATGAGCTCGATGTCCAGGTGCTTCTTAACTGCCTTTTGAGCGTGTTTTCATGTCTCGAAGATGGCTCAGAGTTTAGGGCTTAGGGCTTCGAAGTTTAGGGTTCGGGGTTCCGGGTTTAGGACTTCAATTTAGGCTGCAGGGTTTTTTGTTTTCGGACCGGGTTTAAGGTCAACTTGCTATCACTGGAGCAGCGGGAGAGCAAGACTCTGCAGAAGTCGAGAACACTACTGCGACGACCACATCCACAATGTAGGGTTTAGGGGTTCAGAGGGCGGGTTAGGGCCACTAGGGGTTTACGACAGCGACTAAACTTCGTGCACCGCATCGGATCCGGACTTTGCCTCCAGCAACGGCTGAGGCTGCCCATCTTCGAAGACTCGCGGCGCATGCGGATTCTCCACTTCGTGCAAGCCGAACCTGGAGAGTCGCAGTGCTTGAGGAGCAATGACCGAGAGCATTGCCGCAGCTTCGCGCGCCTAATGTTTGGCCCGAAACACCTAGTTTTTAGGTACTGCCCTCATACAGTAAGAGTCTATAAAATAGGGCTACTATTGAGGTCCTAATATATCGTACCCAACCTATTTTCGTCAAGCTGCCGTGCGACGTAAAACGCCAGGTTGTTCTTCAGGCCCTGAATCTCGGCCTGGCAGGACTCCCAAGGGTTTAGGGTTTAGGGTTTTAGGGGTTTAGGGGTTTAGGGTTTAGGGTTTAGGGGTTTAGGGTTTAGGGTTTAGGGTTTAGGGGTTTAGGGTTTAGGGTTTAGGGTTTAGGGTTTAGGGCTCATTTCCCAGAATCTAAGGTTTTGACAGGGATGGCCCCTCGAGTGGTGAGCGGTCTTGCCGAAGGTTGCGATGCTTCGAACTCAGGGCTTAGGGCCACAACTAACCGGGCTTGCGGCTGCCTGCGACACCCGCAAGCTGCTGCCAAGCTCGGGATGACTCCAATCGCGCAAAGTGCAAAATGCTTTCCTTGGCTGCAGCCACGAACAACCTTCGCTGCAACCGCAACCGCACCTTTGCCCAAGAGTCTTTGCGGAAAGGTGGTCCACAAAGTTGACGAAGGCGAGGGCCACGTTGCTCTCCTTGTTTTTGTCGTGGGGCACGTACACGAAGTCGTAACATCCTGCGTCTCTGCGAACGAATTGCTTGAGGCTTATGTTTAACGGGTGCCTTCTGCTATCTGATTCAAGATCTCGAGGAATTTGTTCGTCGAGAGCTTTCCAGGCAGACGCCTCAGACATCTGGCAGAATGGCACTTCGACAAGCTGGTCCAGTCTGCGTGAATGGCCTCAACATGATACCAGTTGCTCCGTCAGCTAGGACACATTCCTGCTCAGCGAACTCTCAGGCTAGATCAACTCACCCGGATCCACAATCAACAGGGCCTGCGGCAAGGAATCGCTCATTGTGAGTCCGAACCCCGACTCTGTATGAATACTCATGTAGCATCTTTGAGCCGGTTCGTACAAGAGGCGCGATGTATACCACATGCTGGCAAGTGCCACCAAGTCGGACTCTGCTTTGTCAAGCTGAAAACCCTCGTCATGCCACGTATGTTCATGACATCGTTGCCGATGCTTCAAGTGGGCGGCAGGTGCAAGGCGATTCACGCAAACTCCGGAATAAATATTTGTGTTGTAATAGTGTTGCTAGAAACCAAACGCAAAAACATTAGCAATTTGATTATTAGCATGCTTTGTACTCTCAATATTGATAGCATTGACCTGAAGCTTAGTCGTAGCCTCATTAGTAGCAAGAAGATTATTGCTTGTCCGATATTTTCGTTCTTAAGGAGCACTCAGAGCCACTCACAGCGCTTCTGCCTTTTTTCATCCCATCCGCCCGTCTCTGCCCTGCTTTGAGCAAGGGTGGTTCAGCGCTTGAGGGTTTAGGAGCTTAAGGGTTTAGGAGTTTAGGAGCTTAGGGGTTTAGGGTCCATGGGAACCCTAAACCCTAAACCCTAAACCCTAAACCCTAAACGTTTCTGGGTTCAGGGTTTCAAGGTTTAGGGTCAGGGGCTCTCCTCACCCGCTTGTGGTCGTGTAGGGCTCGAGGGCTCCTGGCAGTTTGCGTTGAGGTACCTCTCGAAATACTTTTCTGGCTGCAACAGGAAGGAAGTGTCAGCAAAGACTACCGAAGCAAACCCATAAGACCTTCGCAGATCAAGGAATTCTTATGTCCCCGAAATGCGCCACGTCTGCACCCCTGAACCCGAACACTCCAAATCCATAAGCCTTCTTGAACCCTTGTAGACCTCATAGAAGCCTTGTAGGAAGAACACACTGATGGATTCGGCCAAGAGTACGAGTGCAAAGGACAAAAAGAGGAATGTTGTTCATGTTGCAACTGTTTGTCAGATTGCGGCAACCGTACAAATTGTTTGTCTAATCTGGACACCACAGGGGGCCTGTCCTCAGACTAATCTTGGCACCACAGGGGGCTGCCGAAAATTGTGCAGGTACATGACTGAGCGTCCTCAATCACTTCCCTTCCAGTGACCTAGCTTCGTTGGATCAGGTCAGTCACTGGAAGCCTGATCCCCCTGCAACAGTTGATTTGGTAAATGTCCAATGTCGGATTATGTTGAAAAGCGAAATTGCAAACAGTGTAGGAGTGACCCTCTGCTCCCATGTGCTAGGGAGGTTCACACACACACAGCCCCAATGGGGCGTACATGCTTCAAGTAGAGTGAAAGGTCTGATGCACGGCAATAGGAGTGAATGGCGCACTTTTCTCGCTGTCAATAGCGATCGGGTGATTGTCGTATTTCCTGATCCGAACAGGTTCTAACAAAAAGCACCGGCATCAACGTGGCTAATGTGGTGACTGAATCCCAATCATGTAGTCGTCGTCGGTTTTGTTCGAAGAAGAAAGCTGGGATTTTAGGAGTTCTGCCGGTGATCTCCTTGATGCGGTAGGAGAAGATCTTGCGTGCTTGGAGAACGTTGTCGCCCAGACAAAGCACCACGTGTAAGAACATGTGCTTGTCTCTGGTGATGCGGTCGGGTGGAATTTCAACAGTCATCCGAAAACATTGTCCTGCCATGGAGTACCATGGAAGGCCGGCCTCGGCAGCCTTTCGCTTTGTCATATTTTTGCTGCTACCAACCGACAAAAGCTTGAACAAGGAATGCAAATCAACATGGACATGATGTGTGCTCTGGCAAAACAACAAAGTGGTGTCGTCCTGACACTCGCATGCGCAGGCTTTTTTGTCACGCTTAGCGGATCTTGCAGCCCTAATCCGTCCTGAGAATTAGGGTCCAACAGCGAGTCTGTTGGGACAGTCACTCATGATCTTGAAATGGCAGCGACACCTGAATCCTGCACGTACCAGCATTTTTGCACAAGCGGTTTTGGACCGCTTGTGCTGAATAGTAGGATGCACAATATCGTAAGGTGCAATCGAGTCAGAAGACCAAGGATCTCGAGATGGAGACCGGTGTGGGTCCTCAGCCATGTGTGACGTTGCCGTAGGTGACGCTGATGATGTTGAATGCGAAGAGCGTGTCCTCTTTCGTCTTGTAGTATGTGGATGTTGGCGTCGTTGCTGTGTTGTGGATTGGGATGGTGGTGAGATGTTGCGTGTTTTCTTTGTTTTCTTGACTGTTTTGTCCTTTTTGTCTTTGTTGTCTTTCTTCTTTTTTGTCCTCGTTGTGCGCTTTGTCTTTTGCTTGTGTGTGTGGCTGACTGCATGGGAGGATCTGGTGGCGTCGTCCTTCCTCAAGAAGGCATCAATCTCTTCGGATCCCCATAGGCTGCTGTCGTCATCCTCGTCCATTTGTGTGCAAAACTGTCCTAATGTGTTTCAGCAACTGTAGGTTAGAGAAATGGCTGCGGAGTCACAACTGCATTGAGGCATGTGCAAACGTAGAACTTCAGAAGAGAGAGAGGCACACAGAGACATCAATTGATAAACCGCGCAGACCTGCATGAACTTTCGACATGATGCTCTTAATGTTGAACCTCATCAGATGTGATGGAGTTCGCAGCACAGCTTTGCTGTGTGATTGTTGGCTGCCGGGGGCAGCAAATATGCATCTAATTGTCAACTCAGCAATGCTGCCCACGGAGTTCTTGATCGCTTTCGCTTGTTGGATGTAGGAGTTGATGTAGTAGATACTGTCTCCTTTTGGGTAGGAGTCGTTGATGGCGGACGCTGATCAGGCTGCTCCGAATGCTTTCGTATCCACTCTTGAGATGCGATAAAGTACTCTCGCCACCATGAAGAGCCGTTAGTGGCCCAATGCCATCTCCATTGTGATGCCGTCGGAGATCGCGATCTGGTGCGTTGTTCCATGATGCTAACACAACTGGTTGTTTTTCAAAATGCTGCGGGAAAGAGTGTATCAATCGCTGCATAACAAACATATGTGAAGTGAGTGCGCTGACTGTAACACTTGGCGAAAACGACTATCATTGTTTTCACCGTCCGCTGCAATGTGCCCGATGACGGTATGAGCATGGTTGATCACCTATTGTTGCGAAGCTTCGAGTCGTTCCACTCGTTGCTTTAGCTCTGTGATCTGCCGAGTTGTTTGAAGAATAAACTCGGCTAATTGGTCGCGTAGAGCCCCGTCACTGAATGTGGAAGGTTCGCTTCCAGTTTCTGAATCATAGTCCCGATGCTGTGTCAAAATCTCCATGATGGCCTCGGAGAGAGCTTCACGTCGTGCCTCATCGATGGGTGGCGAAGCTGTAGTCGCTGTGTTTGTCGGAAAAGATGCTTCGCTCATGGCTCTATGTCGGGATTCGAATAGGTGTCACTCTGAGGCATAAAACTTCAGAAGGCGAAGTTATGGTGCGTATCTGCAAGCAACAAATGGTCAAATGCAAGAGGTGTGCACTACCTGGCTCTTTTTATACCAGCGGATTCAGCAGCACATTCAGGACCAGTCTGGTGTGTTTTGCCTCATAAGGCTCTCGAGAATATCAAGTTGCTGTTTGCATGATGCCATAATGGCAGTGGTGGCTTCGTGTTGAGTAGTCAACACCGTTGTGGCCTGCTGTATCAAGCGTTCCAGCTTGGCATTGGATTCAAGCAACGAATTGTGAAACTGTGTTAGTAACTCAATAATCTCAGCCGATGAATCCGGACCAGAATGCGGCGGAGGTGGAAATGGTGGAGTCGCCGGTGCAGCCACTGCTGCGTCCTGCTGTTCTTGCGGATCTTGGTGTTGCTCTTGGTAATCTTGGAAATCTTCGTCTTCTGCGACACGTAGGAACTGAGAGCGTAAAGGCGCCGGCTGTTGAGTGTGGCTGCCAACCGCAGGCTGCTCGTTGCGGCGTCTGCTATGCTTGGAGATGGATGGCCGAGGACGGCCGCTCAGCGCTTTGTGGCTCGGCTGCAATCTGCCAGTCATGGCACTTTTATACATGATGATGCCTCAGTTAGTCCCTGTAAATGGCTGCGGGAAACACTGTGTTGGTACAAGGCGTCTCACATGTTGCAAAGTTGCATGGCTCTGGACGCACGCACTGCAACTTGGCACAGTGTTTTTGCTTACAGCTGTTGATCAGTATAGCCGGCAGCGATGTACAGATCGCGCATGGCTCGAATGGCTGATGTGGCCTCGCTGCATGGTGTTGTCACTCTGCGTACCATGCGTGCGCGGGCCTGAAAACTGCTGCGAAGTGTTGCAACACAGGTCGCCGACTGTGGGTGTAAAATATCCGCCTTGTGTAAAGTGCAGTGATGCGTAAGGCTGCTGTGCTGAGGGTTTATGGCGAAACCCAGGAAAATGTTGGCCGGTTCAGTTTCAAGCTGAACCGGTGGTTTGTAGAAAGATGCGTCAGTAAGCTGTGCAAAAGGAGGCAGTCGGGTCAGCTGTGCAGGCAATAGAAGGACGCGGTTGTCGACGTATCTGGTAGCAAAAAAGTAAGCTTGATCCTGCTTGTTGTGGTCTGGAAAATGCTTGTGGTTCGTGAAAAGTTGCTTGTATGTGTGGTGCCAACACTGCTCTTCTACAGCAACCACGATGTTGCATAAAGCTGGGCTGCAGGGCGAGCCCATAGGTGCTCCACGAAATTGCTCAATGAGTGATGTACCGACAGTGAAATAGTTGAGCCTGAGCACTGCAATGATGAGTTGTGGTATGTGTTGTAATTGTATGCAAAGTTTGTTGCCGGAGGAGGCTTCCTGCTGCTTTTGTTTGCTTTTACCTCTGTGAACTCGATGTGTGGGGTCTTTCTGTGAGTGGTCAATGAAGAATTTGGAAGAGTGCAGTGGGTTCTTCTCTCTGTACCATCGAACCATGATGCTGTATGCTGAAAGAAACCGGCTTTGATCGACCGATGTAAAGAATCCAGCTAAATCCTGATTGTACAGGATGTAATCTGTTGAATCGTGTAGTTTTCTGCGCTGATGCAAAAAGAGCGCTGTTTGTTTGAGCTGGGTTATCCCATC